TTTGAGGGTCTTACTTGTAATATAGACTATATAGAGGGTCTTTCTGCAGTTTCTGCAGTTCTTATTGTGGGTATATGAGGTCCTTTGCGGTTCTTCCTGTAGTTATACGAGGTTCTTAGTGGTTCTTTGCAGTTTGGACCGCAGGGAACCTCAATATAGTGGGTCTTTCTATCCAATTACTATATAGAAATAGATTTTATCTATCTAAATCTCCTAAGTCCTATTGTTTGCTCTATAGTAGCTGATTCTTATTTTTTTTCGAGCACATCTCTTATGCTCCTTTCTTTCCTTTCCCCCCTTTTATTCTATACTTATTTCGTTAAAATGCCACAGAGCCAGACCTCTCAGTTCTCTGATCACTATCCCCTATCGATTTTTGGCGATAACCCAGTAGATACCCTCTCCTTACTTCTATCTAATGGTCCATTCAATCTCAACGGGCACGACATGCTAAGTTCTGCCCCTAACATAAACTTTACCTAACCGGCGGTTCCTTCTCTGATCCCTAAGACACTCTAATGTATTGGCCCTACTAAACAGAAGATCTATATCCTCTGGACAGAGATGATGAATGATGATTTTATTATATAGTAGCTACAGACTGAGTTTGGAAGTCAAATAAAACGGAATATTTTCGATGTTAAGTACTAGTTAGGGTGTTAGGATCACTTTGAATAGGTTGTAGCTCCTTAAGATAGAACTCCTAAGGTTATGTGTAAGACCTGTAACTATATCCTGGCTCATTCTGCCGATCACCACCGGGGAACAACCTATATGAACAAGCACTATATATAAGGGGTTAATTGTCGGAAGCTAGCACCTCGGTCGTAAGATATTAGACAGATAATATTAAACAGGGTATAGAGAACTCCTATCCTTATTTCTTTTCCTTACTAATATTATCGAAATCTCTCACTAGGTATACCACACACCCCAAAGATTACATTTTATCTAGTAAGCCTAGATAGAGAGGTTAATTATATTTATTACTGCCTCACGGTTACTATTCCTCCTTATTGAACATCCTGAATTCTATACCCTAATCGAAATAGCACGGCTTGCTCCGTCTATGCCCGAAATCCCTTCCGCATTTATAGTCCGCCGGTATCTCCAAGAGATAGTGGAACAACACCAGTATACTCTTCTTTATAAGCTCCCTTAGGGTGTAAAGCTCTCTGTTGTATTAGATTGCTGGACTTCCCCTTTTCGACAGTCTTTTATAGCGGTAACAGGTTACTTTCTTGACCAAGAATGGAACTACTGTGAGATTTTACTTGGCTTTAAGCCACTATATAGGTCGTATACGGGGGCCTATCTAAGTACCGTTCTTCTGAATCTTCTTGAGAAGTATAAGATTACTAACCGGGTGTTAACTATTACTACTGATAACACATCTAACAACAGTACGTTGCTAGATAGTCTTCAAGAGGCTATTAGATGTCTAGAGCTACCTAGCCATATCCCGATTGTTCGGATACCCTATATCACATATGTTATACAGCTTAGTCTGAAAGAGCTACTTAGTCAGATGGATGCAAACCCACAGAACGATTAGGAAGAGATAGAATAGGCCGATAAAGGGACTGATACTATCACTAGGGCTCACTAAGAGAATACAAAGATCGTGGCTACTCTTAATAAGGTCTAGTCTTCTCTTACCTCTCTTCTATTCCATACGCTAAGTTACTAACTATCTATTATCTTTAGGTTTGTAAGATTGCCGTTTACATCAACAAAAGTCTACAACGTCGTAAGAGTTTTGTGAAACTTCAGACAAAAGAGCCAAAGTTTATGCCAATCTAAGATATTCGGATACGCTGGAATTCAACGTTCCTAATACTCCGACATGCCCGGTGGCTACAGTCTGCCTTTAATACATTCTATGCTGAATTCAACCTTACCGACATAAAGATGGATAAAGATGAATGGCGATAGGTTAATTATATTTCTCTCAATTCCCTATCCCTTCTTTAAATTCACTTTATCTCTCTCAGCAACTACGGATATTACTATTCATAATGTCTTCAGTATCTACAATACCTTATTTACTTATATTAATAAGGTAAAAGCCCAGCTAGCACGGAAGAGAGTTGGTTAGAAAAAAATAATGAAGTTGGTGCTAGATTATGTACGGGATAAGCTGGCTGAGTATTATAGGAAAACTGATAATGTTCCTGGCAATCTCTATGTAATTGCCACTATCCTAGGGCCGAGGAATAAGCTAGTATTCTTCTTAGGGAAGGATTAGGAGCCTCACTGGGCGCCACGCTACAGGAAGTCCCTAGAGACTTACATTCAACCTTACCCAGAGTGCTATAAACGGTCTCCGTCAACCGTCCAGTCCATGAGAAACAATATATCTGACATTAATATCCTTGTAACACCTATCGAATCTCTTCAGTCTGAAACAACTACTACAGATAAGTTTATGCGGTATCTTGGAAGTAGTAAGCCAATCCCTCCACTTCTTTATCTTCTTATATACTCCCGCGGTTTGCCTTATACTAACCTTACTAGGTACTATACATGCAACTCCTCTAGTGTACTGGAAGGAACACGAAAAGGAATTTCCTATTCTAGCAAGCCTCGCCCAAGACATCCTCACTATTCTAGCTAGTGGTTCTAGTATTAAGCGGTTATTTAACTCTACCCGCGATATCTGTCACTACCAACAGGGCTCACTAAAGCCACAGACAATCCAAGATTTGATGATGTTTATGTGTACAGCAAGATTTAATGTCGAATCAGAACAGCTTACTTGGATTGATGAGTACCTTTATACACAAGAAAAGCAAGCAGAGAATGAGCGAAATGATGCGGAGAGAAAGAAAAACGAAGGATTTAATTCAATCAGTGATAACGAGGAAGATTCTCTTACTATTAAAGATATTTAAGCCACGCAATATTCTACTACGTCTGTCAGTGAGCGTACACTTGGGAAGAGAAGAGCCAAGTTCATATCCGATAGTCTTATCCAACTGGATGATACTAATGAGGTTCCTCTACCTAATAATAACTACTTATTAGAGGAAAGTAGCACCCAGCGGCATTTATCTAGGCGCGTTCCAAAGCGCTCAAGACGGGATGAGGATTATATATATAACTAGCAGAAACACGGAATCATATTAGCTAGCTCGGCAGAAATTGGTAAAAATTATCGAACTCTTATTAAAGGATTAGTCTAAATAAAACCTTTTATAATACGCATATAGGGCTATGGGCATAGACCATGATTCTGACTTTTGGGTATAAGGCTGAAAACAAAATACAAAAAAATACAGGCTCGTTCTGTATAAGATATACATATTACGGGACTTAAGATGTTTGATATGTTTATAGACCCGCCGGGTCGACCCGCAACCTTGGAGGGTCGGTTCTCATCGTCCTCAAACCGCCCCGTGGGTCTAAACTTCGCGACCAAGAACCGCCTCTCTGAGGGGCGGGGCGGGGCGGTACGCGGGTCTTGCGGTTCTATCTCGAGGTCTACTTATATGTCAATCGCAGACAAGATATGTAAAAGCAATGCCATTATCATGCGATGACTCTAAAATGGGCATAATAGCCGACAACTTATGCATGTATGCACGTAAGCGAAATTCATGTTATGTTCTACTATTATACAATCTAGTATCAAATAAAAGAGCCGAGGTTTAGACCAATAAACTTCTATCTAGTTATGCCCAATCGTGTTATGTGAGTTTATTGCATATCCTGAATGCACAGAGTATCACACGAGACATGTAGACTCTATATGATTGATTGGCTTGTACACTCGATGCAGGGTTCAACTAATATAAGTCATTTTAGATATCACCTACTCCGCGAACACTTACGTGGCAGGTGTACAAGTACCAAGAACGAGACCATGATGAGAGTCTGGAGGAAGCTAGCTTGCACTTGAATGACCACTATAAGAACTCCCACTATCCCCGCTCCTACGACACATTCAGCAGCAGCACGAAGACTTGTTTACCTTTAAATTGTATCCTCAGACCAAAAATGCATCTCTCATTCCTCTCCATCCTCGCACTTGCACCTGCCGCCCTTGGTATTGTCGTTAATGACCCCATTATGAAATCGAAACGAACTTGGCAGCTGTCATGGAACATTGACACCCCGAAAACAGGATTTTTCCTTACTCGGGATTGGAAGGAAATGGAATTTATTGGCGTTGCGGAGACTGTGAAAGAAACAGCTACTTTCAGGCTATCAAAGGAGCTAGTTCGTCCAGGGTAAGAATCGGTATTTGATTTTGCCTTGATGAAAATTTGATGAAAATTTGATGTTAATGTTGATATGGTCTGTGTAGTGAAGTTTGGATTGTCGCATACACCAATGGTGTACCACAGGTCCAATCGGATATAGCCAGAAGTTGACTCTGGAATGAGAGGTTGGCATGAGTGTGATTCCGAAGCACTTATTATTTGTCTAGCTTTGATATGTCGGAAGTTTACAATCTCTTTTTACAATATCCCTTTAAATCAGTAGTCTCAAATTTCTTTAACAAGTTGTGACAACCCGGACTCTGCAAAAGAATACCAGCCCTGAGCTGACTGGGAGAATATTCATGAATGCTATTTAATATGGGCATTTGCCATTCCCTTGGCGAAGAGATATAGAAGGATATCCGGTTATTTACATCTGTAATACGACCTACAACATATATCAAGCCCTGTAATATAGCATATATCACTGATAGTTAATTTCCCTGGCGTATTTTGGGCCCAGGGTCGAAACCCGACCCGCGACTCTAGTTAATTATAAAACACTACCCACTGGACTGGGTACAGGTTGGTCTCGAAGGCTATGTATCTCCATTTATTTGACGCTATTGTGAAAAAACCATTTATATACGCACATTCGGTCGTTTCGAAACAATATGGATCTCCAATCGTTGATCGACATCATGCCTGTTTATCAAAAGCGTCTTTGGCTGACAACTCTTTCACTTCAATCTCTTGCCACTTTCTGCCCATAACATTTCCATCACCTCAAACATCTTATTTTCTCGGCCAAGGCCAACTCCAGTTCCGAATATGCTCAGAATCGAGTCCATTATTGAACGCCTCGGCCTTGCCCGCTAGCTGCTCATTGATCAGCCTCTCTCTCACACCAGATGCCGTGTTGCCGAGATGTTGAACCAAGTCAATAGCGTCAACAGCAAGGCTGTATCGATCAGTTTGATTGCGCATAGCCAGCTCAAACGGAGTGTCGATATTGCCCTTCTCTCTGTAGCCTCGCACATGTAGGTTATGCTGGCCTGGTTGCTTGTACGTGAGTCGGTGGATAAGCCAGGGGTAAGAGTGGAAATTAAAGATGATGGGTTTGTCGGTGGTGAAGATGGCTTTCCACCTCTTATCTGATAGGCTATGTGGATGGTGTATGCTTGAGATCAGTCGGAATAAGTCCACCACATTGACGAAGCGGACTTTGAGCTGTGGAAGGTGCTTGTGCAGGAGCGTGGTGGCGGCTAAGGCTTCGTGAGTTGAGACATCACCGCAAGATGCTATTATGACGTCGGGTTCTGCGCCTTGGTCATTGCTAGCCTAGTCCCAGATTCTGAGGCCCTTGGTGCAGTGCTGGACAGCTTCGGTCATGTTCAAAAACTGAATGTGCTCCTGCTTGTCGGCGATGACGACATTCACGTAGTTGACACTGTCGAGACAGTGGTCTATGATCGAGAGAAGAGTGTTTCTATCCGGTGGGAGGTAGATTCGAACCACCTCAGGGCTCTTGTTTGCGACCACATCGAGGAATCCTGGGTTTTGATGGGTGAAGCCATTGTGGTCTTGTCTCCAGACAGTTGTGGTGATGAGGATGTTAAGAGAGGCAACTTTAGATTGCCATTCCATATTAAGATATTTCTTGATCCACTTGTAGTGCTGGTTAACTATGGAGTCGATGACGTGGATGAAGGGCTTATAGCTGTTGAGTAGTCCGTGCTGCCCTGAAAGAATGTAGTCTTCTAGCCACCCCTCGCAAGTGTGTTCACTAAGAATTTCCATCACGTGGCCATTGGGGGCCAGATTTCCTCCGTCTTTATCTTCTTTAAAATACTCTGCTATCCAGACTTTTTGGCCTGCTTTGTATACCTTGGCAAGCTTATTGGATTTGGTCTCGTCTGGGCCGAAGAGCCGGAAATTGTTTATGTTCTGGGCAACTAGATCACGAAGGAATTTGGCCATATTGGCTATTCCTCCCTTGATGGTTGAGCCTGGGACAATATCCATGAACCTATAATCTCGGAAATCCGGCATTTTGAGTGGTTGGCGTAGAAGACCCCTATTGCTGACGGGGTTGGCACTGATCCGCGAGTTGCCGGTGGGTGTGAGCTCCTTGAGTTCCGGAACTAATTTGCCATTCTTGTCGAAGAGCTCCTCTGGCCTGTAGCTCTACATCCATGTCTCTAGTAATTTAAGATGAGGCGGATTGGTGCGAATGTCGGTAATTGGAATCTGATGCGTGCGCCAGAAGCCCTCGAGTAGATGGCCATCGACCTCGCGTGGGGCCGACCATCCCTTGGGAGTACGAAGAATGATTATTGGCTAGCGGGGTCGGAATGGTGTCCCGGATTCTCGAGATTGCTTCTGGTACTCCTTGATCTCTAAGATGCATTGGTCGAGTGTAATTACCATGGCTTGGTGCATGCTGTTGAAATCGCTCGACAAAGTAAGGCTTCCACCCGTAGCCCACAAACAAAGATGACAGCTCCTCATGAGTAATTCGTGCAAGCACTGTGGGGTTGTTGATCTTGTATCCGTTGAGATGAAGGACAGGGAGAACGGCCCTATCAGTGATTGGGTTCAGGAATTTTGTGCTGTGCTAGCTGGTCGCTAGTGGACCTGTCTCCGACTCGCTATCTCCAACCATGGTCAACGTAATGAGATCGGGATTGTCGAAGACGGATCTGAAGGCATGTGAGATCGAATATCCTAGCTTACTACCCTCGTAGATACTTCCTGGAGTCTCAGGAGTCGCATGACTACCAATACCACCAGGAAATGAGAATTGCTTGAAGAACTTCTTTATACCATCTGTATCCTCGGCCTTATCAGGATAGATTTCCGAGTAGACGCCCTCAAGATAGGACTGCGAGATAATTCTGGGAGCACTATATCTGGGGCCAGAGAAAAAGAGGACATCAAGATCGTACTTTTTGATAAGGCGGTTCATATAAGTCCAAGTGAAAGACTGGCCAGCATCGGATCCCCAATACCCCAAAAGCCGAGCTTTGAGATACTCCACGTTGAGTGGTTCCTTGAGCAGTGGATTTTCACGGATGTAGAGCATTCTAAGGCAAAGGTACATGCTAGCCCGGAAATATGCATCCATCTTGCGAACTTGCTCGGCGTCAAGAGGCTTCCCCTCCAATGTAGAGCGAGCCTCTCTATAAGCGGAAATGCTCTTCTCGCCTGCATTTGATGCCATGTTATGTGGAATTGGCAATCAGTTACGTTTCACAATATGCAAGAGAGTTCAACTCCTGGTTATGGCTAATCCGGTGATCCGGCAGCGGTAGTGAAGTAAGTGTACACAGATGATGTAGGCTGTAGATAGACTTCAAAATCAAAAATCAAGGTGGTGGGAATTGGGCAAACATAGAAGTTCTGGAAAGCCCCGGGGTTTAATAGATGACAGGAAAATAATTTGCCCCAAAAGATACATCAAATGTGCATCTGACAAGTCCATGACGTGTGTTGGCGAACGAACGTACCACCCGGTATTAATCAATGCCCAGATAGGTGGTGGAATGCATGCATGGATAATGACTCGCAGATGCCTGATTATGCAGAATCGGCTAGCTTTTAGCTGCTAGGCCCAGACAGGCGCGCCCGTATGCACCTGATTCCCACGTTTGTGGCGGTCTCTACAAACGTAACACCTGGCCAAAGTTAGCTAGCCCATGACGAGGATGGCCAGGTTTCGTTTACCACTAGACAATAATACGAATCCGTACCCGGTCTAGTGGGTAGTAGTTTATAATCAATCACTAGTGACAATAGTTATGGCAGTCACTGGCGGGGCGTCGGATGGAGCCCGAGAGGTCATGCTGCGACGGAGCCGGGCTCTGCGAAGGCAATTGCGGAGCAGAGTCGAGGCGTTCTCTATACTGCAGCAACTGGGTGGCGGTGTCTACGGGCGCCTCGGCCTAGTAAATCTTCTGTTGCTGCCATCTCTGCATCGAATGGATGTTCGTAGTGGTCCGGTCCGAGGCGGGGATCTGCTGACGTTGCATGGCTGCGGTATTACAGGGCGGTGCAGATGTCTCTTACATCACATATCGGGCATTCATTCTGGGCTTATCGTAGCAGATACGTTGATCCATGATTTATTAGCAGGGGCATCGATGCGACGAAGTTAAACGGAGGGTCGCATTGACGCTACCTCATGTGATATAACTAGCGTCGGTCCTAACTAGACTTCGGCAGAACCCATATTTTGGACCCATTCTTGGCATTTCTTGGCATGCCAAGCACCCATAAAACCCATCAAAAACCCATCCTGCATAAAATCTGTATAAAACCTGTATAAGGAGGCCTAATTAGGCAAGTCTTGGCATTTTTATGCTTAAACTCTAAATGATGGGTTCTTGGCGATGGGTTATGGGTCCAACCCTTCGACCCATAACCCATTTTGCCGAAGTCTAGGACTCCTAACTCATACAATTTGAAAGGAGGGCCGAACAGCAGGAATACAAGAATATCAACACGGTATTCAACCACAGCGTTGAAACAGCACATACAGCAAACATCCAAGATCTTTCAGGACGGCCACTCAGAGTGCCAAGGACCATTAGGTTCATGGATACCCAAGGAAAAGAAGCTCCCAATTGAGGAACCTGTCTTGGATTGGATTATATCGACCTGCTAGCCATTTACATTCCTCGAAAACCTTCTTTTTAAGGCTATGATGAGGTCAGCAAGTTTCCAGGACTCCATACCAAGTGCTAATACTGTTTCGAGCCGATTATGCCTTCTGTTTGATGCTCTTGACAGTGAAGGTCGGACCTTGATGTCTTCAGCTTGCTCAATCGCGATATCTCTTGATGGTTATGTCAGGATGAGGAATTAATGTACTGGCTAGTACTGAACATGTCCAATAGAATCAGATGATTGATTGAAGGTTTTATGAGAGCAGTTGAACGCCCTCGAGAGTCTGTATCATGCCGATGCGGTGTGTTACGACACCATAACTCCGAGTCTATCCCGAATACCATACGAATACTAGGGGAATTGAGCGGATGATGAACATCCTATCCCAAAAGGTATTAGTGGTATTTAACCACTCCTTCAGTTCTGTTAGGACAATCCCCGGGGGGCGTCCTGATACGATAAGGATACGAGTGAAGAATGTGAGATATGCCTGATATGGGTATGATGATATTCAGACTAATCGCTGGTCCTCCTAAGAGGATCCAGCTCCTCCTTTTAAGGGGATGCCTGTGTGCGTATGCAAGCAGGTAAGCGAGGTGATGTATCAACAAGCGGCTCCGGTGGTGGATAGGCACCTCCTCCGCATCTCCTACACCTCATTGTATGGTTGGCGTAACATTATCCCCCTTCTTCGTAGCGCTGCGACCCGAAGTGCTTGGTAGTTGGATGGTAGATGAAAGATGGATGAGCCTATACCGGTAGCTTTGGGTGCTTGCGTGGACGTCCCCGACGTCGCTTTGGTGCACTTTTTGGCAGTTCACCATCCTTTCTAGGCCGTCCTCGTGGCCATTTGGGGGGTTTTGCAGTTTCGGTTCTTGGTTGATTCATATTTGACTGTCCCTGTTGCCCTTCGAATATCTCTAGTGCTTCTGTATCCTCCATGCTAGAGCGTGGCTCCCAGGTATTCTCGCTGTTACTGTAACCCTTCCATTTGACCAGATATCGTACTCCTCAGCCCTACCGCTTTGCCTCCAAGATACACTCTACGTAGAACTCAGGTACACCGTTAACCATTACAGGGTCAGTGTGCTCATCCCGTACGGGAGGACCTTGGTACGGTTCAAGACGCGAGACGTGCTGGGTCGGATGGATATTGCGGTAGCGGGGTATTATGATGAGCTTATAAGCCTGTTTACTAGCTAGGCCGGCGATCTGGAAGGGTCTCATATACTTGTGGTCAAGCTTCTCGTTCGGGCGGTCCCGATCCATGTGCCTGTTATCAGCCATCACCCAATCTCCGATGCGGAACGTCATCTCTTGATGCTTGCGGTCATATGCCTTCTTCATATTCTCTTTTGAGCGTTGGAGACGGTGCTCCAGCTCTCTGCGGAGGCTTTGAATAGCTGTGGTGCGGTGTTTCGCATCTGCATGAACAGGCATAGAAGGATTGTTCACGGAGGTACGTAGCTCCGGTCGTGCGCCATAGAGAGCTTCAGCAGGTGAGATGCCCAAAGCACTGTGGATCGTCGTATTATATACGAATTGTGCGAGGGGCAGCCACTTTGCCCAGTCGTTCTGCCTCCAGCACACGTAGTGTCGCAGGTAATACTCCAGCGTCTGGTTCTGTCGCTCTGTCTGCCCATCTGTCTGTGGATGGTAGGCAGTTGATAGGCGACGACGAGTGCCCAGCTGGTGGCAGAAGGATGACCAGAATTCGCTCGTGAACAGGGTTCCTCTGTCACTGACGAGATTCTCAGGCATACCGTAATGGGCCATGACCTTCTCATAGAATAGGTCTGCTAGGCCTGCGGCGTCTAGCTCCTTGGTGGTAGGCACATACAATGAGTGCTTTGTGAAGAGGTCGACCACGACCATAATGGCATTGTAGGTCTTTCCATCCCACTTGGATGATGGCAGGCCGGTGATGAAGTCGACGCTCATCCACTGCCATGGCTGCTGAGGCACCGGCAGTGGTTCCAGTAAGCTGTATGGCTTGTGTCGATGCACCGCATCGAGCTGGCAGGTGTGGCACTGCCTCACATACTCCTGGATCTGTGGGCGCATACCATCCCAGTGGTACTTGCTCCGGATAGCTTCATATGTGCGCTTCTCCCTGTAGTGGCCCGCGTACGGGTCATCATGGTGCACCTTTAGGATCTCAGCAATAAGGGCTGGCTCACGGGGGATGAAAACCCTGCCGTCAAACCGTAGTAGTCCCTCTTCTGACCTGCTCCAGGGAGTGCCTCCCAAGCGTCCTGCGCCGCCTGTTGCCCCTATCTTGTGGTTAATCTGCTGCAGCTGCGGGTCTTGAGCTTGCATTCCGCGGATGTATTCAACCATAGAGGCGGTAGACGTGGCATTCAGCGCTGTCTCTCCTGCTAGGGCCTGTCTGGCCCTTGCTCGGGTGGGTAGAAGCTCTAGGCTATCGATACCACCAACAGCTTGGCACTCCTGGCCTTGTATTAGGGTAGCAGCCATTGTAGGCGCTTCAGGGTCATCGTCTGCGAGTGGTCCCTGTTTGAGGCTGGTTTTCAGCTTCTCAAATAGCTTCTGCTGGTATGGGTCGACCTGATGCGAGGGCGCATCGCGAGCATAGTCTGGCCTTCTGCTAGGCGCGTCCGCGGGGTTCTTGAGACCTGGTTTGTGGAGGATAACGAAATCAAAGGCAGCGAGGCGCTCGGCCCAACGTGCTTGCCGCTTCGATAGCTCCTTGGTGCTTATGAATGTCCTCAGGTTTGCATGGTCTGACCATACTACCATGGGCTTCTGCGTCCCTTCTAGGTAGTGGCGCCACGTCTTGAAAGCGTTGACGATAGCTAGCATCTCCAGGTCATGAGTCTCATAGCGCGTCTCCGCGGAGATCAACTTTCTTGAATAGAAAGCGACTGGGTGCCACTGGCCATCGTCTTGCTTTTGTGAGTAGATTCCAGAGATAGCATACCCTGATGCGTCTGTCTCTAGCTGTGAATCTCTCGATGGATCAAAGTGGGCTAGCACAGGGGCGTCTTTAAAGCATTGTTTTGTCTCCTCAAAGGCCTCTTGGGCCGCTTGAGTGAAGATGAAACCTTCCTGCTTCTTGTTCCGCCCCTTCTTCTGTACATCAGGGCCCCTGATGAGGTCGTTCAATGCAGCTATCTTAACACTGTAGTGCCGTATGAAACGCCTATAAAAATTGGCAAAGCCAACGAATTGCTGCACATCAAAAATACTCTGAGGTGCAGGCCAGCTTATGATGCTGTCAATTCTGCTCTTGTCCATCTCAACACCTCTTGGTGTGACGATGAACCCCAGGAATTCCACTTGTGGTATGAAACAGGCACTTGGAACGCTTTACGTATAACTGATAGTGCCTGAGCCTGGATAGTACCTCTCTTACATGGTGCCGGTGCGACTCCTCATCATTTGAATAGATGAGTATGTCGTCCAGATACACCACTACGAACACATCTAGTGTGTCGCTGAGAGCGCGGTTGATGTAAGCTTGGAAGGTTGCTGGTGCATTGGCCAATCCAAAAGGCATCACGCAGTACTCATAGTGTCCGTACCGCGTCCTAAACGCGGTCTTCCACTCATCACCTTCCTTGATACGGATGCGGTGATAGGCGTCTCTGAGATCTAGCTTTGTGTAGATACTCGCGCCTGCGAGGCGATCAAGACTCTCCTGTACCAGTGGTAGCGGGTGTCTGTTTTTGATCGTGACCTCATTCAACCCTCGGTAATCGACGCATAGTCGGAGGGAGCCATCCTTCTTCTGTACGAAGAGGATAGGAGCACCTGCTGGACTCTTAGATGGACGAATCCAACCTCGATTGAGATTATCCTGCAGGTATTTTCTTAGCACTTCTAACTCATTGGGTGACAATAAATAGATTGGCCTGTGTGGTGGCTGCTTGCCTGGGAACAGGTCAATAGCATGATCATGAGAGGCATGTTCTGGTAATCTGTCAGCATTATCCGAATCAAAAACGTCTTCGAATTCTTCATATTCTGGTGGCAGAGCCTCTCCCTCATATATCATATTAAGGTGGATGGAATCACCCCAAGGCTGGCACCATAGGATGCCAAGCATTCCTCCTCGACGAACCTCCTTGCGTATCTTGCCGGCATCGACAAAAATGCAATAAAAGTGTTCTCCTTCTGCTACAAAGACGGAGATCGCCAGAGCCAGGTGCCTAGCGCCCAATTGATGTCTGGGTTGGCGTGCTGCAGCCAGTCATAGCCCAGGATAATGACATATCCCTGCATTTTGACTGCTTCGCACGTCACATCTTCGTTGCACATGGCTCCTGACGCGTCGGTAAGCTGGAGTTCCATGTCCCTGCTTCCGTACGACTTGATCTGGTGGCCGTCCACTGCAGTGACGAGCCTGGGTGCTTCCTGCGCGGCGCGCAGATGCTTCTTTGCCCATTCTTGGCTGACGAAACTCTTCTGAGCTCCTGAATCGACTAGTGCCCACACGCACTGCCATCCTGCGGGCGTAGCCACGAGGATTTCACATGCGAGGGCAGAGGAAAGATTCCGCCACGGTGCGACGACGAGACCTAGTACTGATGCGGTTTGCAGTGCTAGGTCATCTATTTTTTTGACTTGTGAGGCCAGTCTGCAGGGAATCCATGCTTCCTGTAGCAGACATCCTCAGTGTGTCCAGTTAGCTTGCAATGTGTGCAGTGCTTCCTGTCTTCCGCGTCGTCCCGCTTCCTCTTTTCACCCGTGTTAGGCACTTCCTCTGGTCGCGGTGGTCGGTTGGACGACCCCTTAAAGCCTCCACGACCCTTTTTGACGGAGTGCTGGCGGTCATTCTTGTGCTGGTCTTGAGGGTTCGAAGGCCTCTCAGCAGGCTGATATGAGGTGTGCTCCTTCTTCTTGATAGCAGTCTGCCTTTCCGGGAGTTGCTTCTCGATCTTTTCGTAGAAACGCAGCCAGGCATTGTACGCGTCGCTTTCTGCTGGTTTATTGACATACTTGCGAGCTTCCACGCTAATTTCCTCGACAAGACCCGACCTTAGCCTCTCAATCTTCTGTTCACGCGTGCGTTCCGGCCGCATGAGTCTCTCCAGCTGCACTAGCTTAGTGGAGTACTCGGTGACGCTCTGGTTCTTGTACTGCTTAGTACGGTACCATTCGTCGACGCTGTCCTTCGCTACCATATTGGGGTCTGCAACAAGAGAGGTAGCCCAATCTTCAAAGGTTCGCCAGGTGAGGTTCTCACGAGCGAGGTTTTCTCGGTAGTTTAACCACTGGCTCGTTCTCTCTTCATCTAGAAGCCCCGCAGCTGCGTCGACCCTTCTTCGGTCTAGCTGGTAGAAGGTCTCATGACGTAGGAAATGCACCACCATCTGGTTCTTAAAACGCATCCAGTCTGCAAGGTCCTTGGCAGTGAATGGAGAGATAGAGGGTAGCGGCGGCACTTTATCTTTCGTGGTTGTAGAAGACGCTGCGCTCCTTGGAGTTCTAAGCCCGGTTATGGTGCTTGGAGCTATCGAAAACTCCGTCGGCTGCGGAGACGGAACTCGAGCAGGTGGTACTAGTGTAGTACTTCCTTCCTGCGACCACGACGGGTCCCAGGACGATGATCCATGGGGCACAGGCACAAGAGGGCCCATGGCTACCAGTCGCGCCTCTTGCCTCTGTTGTTCTTCGCGCATATCCAGCACCTTCTGTTGCCTTTCGCGTATCTTTTCCTGAGCCTTCACATAGCGGTCCCAATTCGCGAGATCCGCTCGTTGCTTGTTCAGGTCGCGCTTAGTGATACGCTTCGGCGGAGGGGCCACTGCGATGATGGGTTCCTCTGGGGTGTCTGGCTGTGTCGAGATGGATCGAGCGTGCGAGGAATCAACTTCGTCCTCCACTGATGCACGCCGGGCACGGGTTCGGGTGAAAGGCATTCTCAACTCGACGGTCGCATCCGAGATGAAGCGATTAGAATGTTAGGACAATCCCCGGAGGGCGTCCTGATACGATAAGGATACGAGTGAAGAATGTGAGATATGCCTGATATGGGTATGATGATATTCAGACTAATCGCTGGTCCTCCTAAGAGGATCCAGCTCCTCCTTTTAAAGAGATACCTGTGTGCGTATGCAAGCAGGTAAGCGAGGTGATGTATCACCGGTGTCACACATCGTGACCTTGAAACTTCAGTCTGCGGTGAACTCTACATGTGACTGAAAAACGAAAACAGCAGAGCCAGCAAGAGATATTTAATCAAGGCGGTCATCTAATGGTCGCCACTGGGAAAATTGAGCGCGGCCTCTAAAGGCCTCGGATGTCAATACCGTATAATTGAAAGCCCTCTTACGCTATTTGTTACTTTTCGCATCGGTATTTGAATCTTGCAATGCGAACTTATAAGCTAACCGGGGATAATCGATAGATAATCATGATATTCAACTGTCGGTCAAGCCTTTTTATAATATACCCTTGCGCATATTGACTCTTGTTCTCAATCACTTCTATCCCAATTGGAGTCTGTAATTCTGTGATACTAATTGAGAGGTATGTGGGTGTATTACAAAGAGTTCGATAAAGAGCCATTCAGGTTGAGTAGTATGTGTGGAAAGTTGATGGGATATATAATGTATACTAGGTCGTGGGAAATATCCGAGAAGAAAGCTCTCTATGATTAGGCAGGTATTTTGAGTTTGAGTTAAATTACTATTCGGGACGCATAAAGATTGACAGAATGTAAGAAATCCTGGTTTCATTAACAGAGCTTTCAGTAACTTCAATCCAAATCCTGGCATTAAAGTCATCCACCCATCATTCAACCCCCATGTGTTGAGAATATTACTTGAGACTAACAGATACTCTCAAGACTTACCGGCACACGAGTACTACGTGCTGTTTAAACTGTCTTATTATCTGTTATTGATTTCGTATGACTATTTCTTTCTTTGATGAATTCGGAGGTTTCATTCCAGAGGGCAATTCTTGAAATATTCAACTTCGTGTGCATGTAGCCAAAGGTCACTCTAGATTCATATTAAGTACTTCCAAAACGACATCATCGTCGCCTGCGGCAATTAAAATGTAGCTGAGTAGCCATTTTTTCGTTCTCAATTGCTCTGAAAGTTCGCTTGCAGAAGCGTAGAAAATCAATAGTTCAATGGCTGTTTCGTTTACATAATCTATCGTTAAGATAGAACTTTGAGATATGTCTTCAAAGACAATCAAACTAGCTGTATCCGGAGGCTGGTATCCTGTAATCAAACTCTAGGCAACCTATAGATTGGTTTCCATCCAGAGGCTGTTACTTCTTTGTCACGTAGTGAAATAAAGGGCGGCACGATGGCGGTGGCACGGATATTGTCTCAGGTAGCTAATATCTTCGGCTGCTTGCAGCAGCATAGCTTTTAATTTGGGGATCATGAGTGAAAGATAAATTGAGAGTGACAAATATTTTCTTATTCTCTGCTCTCCAAAGGGTTGATGTACGTAGTATGGGAGCTTAATGAAATCCCAGTAAGTATACGATGCTTTCAAATGAATAGAACGCTTCCTGGGGCCCGAACCTTTTTGTGGCGTGGTCTAAGTTTATTTCTTTACGACTGATTAACCAATCAGAACTAGTCGATCTAGAGAATCGCAATCTGGTTCTTTGAATTTCAGCACGATCGCTTGATGGCAAATTAAAATGGCTTGCGTACTGCACTTTATCCGCAGTGGGTGGTTTACAGTCAACAAGAAAGCAGATTTAAAAAGACGGTTCCTCCATGAAATTCGAAACGCATAATACGACTCTGTCTAGTCTATCGGACCAGGCCTTAACCATAGGACTATTAGGTAAAAGCTTAGCTCCCAAAGGCAGCCTATCTTAACAAACCAATTTGAAATACGACTCGGCTGGCATTTTAATATCAGATACCTTTATACCTTCCCCGTAATGTGCTTCTTCAATCAAAGGATCTTCCTATGTGGTGACTGGATTTGGACAAGCTTTGTTAACCAATGCTATTTCGAATATCGCATAGGAAAGAGATGTGGTATCAAACTTATCCATGGGACCGAATATGATTTGAAGAAATGCGCTATCTGTTCGAAAATCGAATCTAAGTCACGACAGTTGGATGCTGCAGTTGTAGCCCAGCGACGCATCGGCAATTATGGAAATGTCAGTCAGACATTAATCGACGAGTCTAGGAATCTGGTCATCGGCCTCAGGGATGAAATATTGCAATTACAAACAACACAACAGTATCGGAGAACGATATTATGATTGAAATTTCCAAAGGATTGAATGCTTATTCTTATGGTTTGTTATCAATACTTAATGGATTCTGATCGCAAGTTCGTGCTAAATGTGTTGAATTAATTTTTCAAGCCACATGCCGGATATCCTTATCTATACGGGTGTTCCTGTCTATTAGATCACGAGCCAAGGAGCGACACAACAAGAGCGACTGACAAGATCGCTCATTATATGTTAAAGCACATTCAAAATCCTTTGAGAGGTCATCGGATTATTAGCAGGCATGGCAGACAAAAAAGCTTCATACTTCGAGCTATCCTGTTTCAATTGGAAGATTGGCTGTATAAATAGACAAAGCGTCCATGCTAAGGCAACATGAGCCTGTGGCTGAGATACAGCTTCTAGAGTTTATTCAAACATAGAAACTCAGATCTGATACAGAAAGAGTGGCCTGCTGTCCTTTTGAGCCATTCTCTCTTTTAAGGTTGAGGTAACACAACTTGGGAATCCGAGATAAGATGTTCAGAAGAGAGACCCACTTCCAGACGTGAGGATTCACACAGAATGTCCTCCCAGCATACAAGTATATAGGCAATGGTGTAGAGGTCGGGCTTTGATAACAGGAAAATGCAGATTTATTACACCATACCAGGACGGGTGCGATTGCGGATGTTCGGAACGTTAGAAATTCGCCACGACGCTGAAATGTCCCCGAGGACAATTCAGACGTCCATAGCCCTTTCGGCAATTTTAATTTTTAACTTGGATTATAATTTTTATCTCAGATTCATATGTCTTCTTCGCGTTTCGCCAGACTGGCTGTTTACGCAAATATTCGAAATGTCTGGGGTTGAGTGGTGAAATGTTCGTCTGCTTTCTCATCGGGTTTTAGCTCAGCTGGTTCCTGATCGGTTGCAATAAACCCGCTCTAGAACACAAATTGACCTATGATACAAAGGATTATTGTAAATTTCCTCTAGGATTTCAATTTGACATACTAATGATTTCTGCTTTCTCTCTATGCCCTCTTTGAATTATGCGGGCCCTGGAGATGGCTTGATGATGCCACATCTTGTTCATGGCTCTTGTAGCTCTAGATATCGAACATATCTTGTCGTATTCAAGTGTGGCTTGGAACTATTCAAATAATCTGCAGACACTGATAACTTGTCATTTGGAACAAATCTGATCATAATGGCCTAATGGGCGGTAAGTGCGGCCAAGCCTGTAGACAACTTTCCGTCAAACCGAGAAAGGCTCGCTAACGTGGCTTCCTGAAGCCTTTTTGAGGAGCTGGCCAACTGATCCTGGCTTGGACATTTCGGCGAGTAAATACGGTAGATATGACTAAACTGGCGGAAGGGATTTAACTTTGGCTCACATGTCCACGAAGGACGAATAACAATTGTAAGAGCGACTATATTTGGATGATTCGGGTAGAAGTAACCATCCAGACCAGTAAAATTGATATCTATCTGCTTTCCTTTGTTTAACTTGAAAGAAATGATACCCCAAGTCCTTCTAGACTAGCCGATGATGATATGGGATGCCGAACCCCCCCAGAAGACTCACGGAGATGAACGCTTACTAGCCATATTTTCAATCTCATAGAGATATAGAGCTAGGTTGCTCTTTCCAATGAATGCTTTGTTTACATTGTTGCCTTGACACAGTATAACAGCCAGTCTTGTTCACTCTACCTTACTGGGGGATCCAGAATCTTTAAAATGGTACATGGGAAACTCTGGCTGTGAGGAAGAGTTTTGGACGAGCAGAGACTGAAACTTTCCAAGTGCCCGAGCAACCCTCCTGAAAACTGAAAAGAGCACTAATGAACTGAATTTCAATTACTGTTACGACTCATGAGTCCGATACTGTCGTCAGGTTGAAAGTAATGGGAGGGGAAATTTGGGGTTTTTTTCAGCCTATTTAGAGCTTGAGATGTATCTGTGATAGTTTCGACTTAGCTGTTACTAATTGTAATCCGAGTGGCTCTATCATATCAGGCCTTGATATAAAGGGCACGGAGAATAAATGATGGATCCTTGATGTTAATATCTTGTAGATACAACAAAAGATACTCACACTACGATCATAATCGTGTCACTATAACCGGATTTCAATTTTTGAACCAAAACCCATGTATGATTCAATGTAAGATTTCGATCGTAGATAATTACTTGCAAGGGCCGTATGTTCCTGCGTATTGGAGTTCCCATAAAAAGGCCTAGATTTTGAGTGATAGAGAAAGAATCCCGGAATCTTCTAAGGCGATTACGCGGCTGAATGGCTGCATCTCTTGTCAGAAAATATGTTATAATAGAACCAGACTGATCCCGAGTTTATGAATAAGAATTATCAATTCCATCGAGGTATTTTCCTCCGCTCTCCCCGTATATGAAATCCCTGATGTTTACATTGATTCTAATTGACAAATTGTATGTGACAGACCAAACACGCTCAGATTCACTGAATTATATGAGAGAGGTTTGACCAGCTACCTAGCTCAGTAGCGAGATTAAAGAAGGATAGTGCTTGTGATCGCAAATATTGAACATTTGTATGCTACGGCTACGTCATGTACCTGTATTGAAGGGAATCACGAGGTCTATTATATGGAGCCCTCTTCTCTCTTGTACTAATTTAGAAGCGTGGTTGTGCAGTGTGCGGTTGAACTGGGAGTTTCAGTCCAATCTGTCATAAAGATTCAACTTCACCATCACTAGCAATTGCTATAACAAAAACATGATATATAAATGAGTAGATCGCTTAGACCTGGGACCTATAATACTTCACACTCCATTTTGATTTGGTTCCAAACTCCCGGGCAATATAGCAGTCATTTTTCATCCTTATAAACGAAGACAATTACCGAGGTAGCTTTTGAAGCTTCGAGCCCTGATTGACAGTACAAGCAAACAATGATTAAGAGGAAGGTATGATAGAAGGTTTGAATTTCACTAAAACATATCTCGATATGAGGTGTCAGGAGGTTACCATGTAAAAAGTTACTCCGAGGAAAGCATGAATTGAGCAAACGATTCGTACGGTGTGCTATTGAGTACGATTTGAAAACCCTCCGGGTATGTGTCACTGTTGATGAACTAAATCGCTTTAAAACCAAGTGAAAACCTCTAGGGAGAGAGTGATTGTAACTGACAGATGTAACCATATGCTAGGGTACGGTGTGACCATATCCTTGATACGGAAATCCGGAGAGATTAGCGTTACATATCACCA